TCGGAAAAAATGAAATATGTACTCTACCCGCAAATTGCTAGTGAAATATTCGGCACTAATTTTTAACACTATTTATCTGAACATGTTATTTCACTGAATTAAAATATATTTAGATTTCTTCGGTTTGGACGAGTCGTGCAGTAGAGTTAAAGAAAACGGTAAAAATACAGCGTTCAAGTTTGATCGTACCAAAAACTGATGAACCGAACATATACGAGCTCATTTCGACAACATCGTTACCACTCACTGGCATAGAGTAATCTTTTTAACATTTCGTTGGTGATTAACATGACTGAAGGAATTTTTTAAAATAGTAGATTAAGGAATTCCAAAAGCAAGTAAAGGATTTTTTTTTTTTGTTTTACCTAAGTATTTTGTTTAGGGAAGAAGTAATAGCTTTTTCCCAGAGCGATTTAAGATGCGCCACGCTTATCACTTTACCTAATGGCAAGGAAAAAAAACAATATATTAAGGTCTGTTAATTTTGGGGTTTTTATAAGCAAAAAAAATGAAAAACGTTGCATTGTGATAATTGGGACTGATTATTCGTTACAATCACTTCTTTGATTTCCTTTGACTTTTTTTCGTTACAATTTAGGAAAAGAAATAAGAGTTAAGGATGAATATCCATTTTAATATTGCATCGGATTCAGTATAATTGCGTAAGCAAAATTGCAGTAAGTTTTTGAATTTTCAGGTATTCGACCAGAAGGAGCATATTGAAATTTGCTTCGCTAATGTAACATCACCGAAAAAGCATGGTCTGATTTATAGTGATGGTAAGTAATCTTTTGAGTTTTTAAAAATTATTAGTCACTCATCTGTCAGACTATCAGCGACGATAGTTACGTTAAGGAAAAGCATTATGATTGGTACTAAATCTCATTTTATATTTTCTTACCGCAATGACCATTTCCTGGTGTTGAAAAAATGCTTTTGTACCAATCAAAAAAAAATAAAAAGTAAGCAAATTAGTGTAAAGATCGGGTTGAAAAAAGAAGAATCCTTATAAATAAACATTTATTTTAGTGAGATTTGTTGCATCTGTTTCTTACATCTGTTGTCTCTTGTCATTTTTCAAAATTACAGTTTGAAGCCTATTGTCACCTCATTGAAGTTGTCCCACCAATCACACTGTCACTCTTCTTTTAATGTTATTGTGAAACAGCAGAAAATTAATGGGATCATATATTTTAAAATTTTGCTTTTCATATCTCAAATTCAGTTTAATATTGCGCAAAGCAATATTTATTAGAAATGTTAAAAAATATATTTTGCAGAAGAATTTGGCGGCTTGAAATGGTCTAATGGCGAGGGTCATTTATTATATGCAGCTGAAAAGTTTTTAAAAAAAAACGAATACTACGATGCAGAATTGGATTGGACTAACGAAGAAAAGTTTCTCGAATCTAATGTTGTGAGTGAATGTAGCAGTCTTTGGAATGTGCAGTTCCTTGACATTTTGTTTCACATCAACTGACTCTTAGTACATTCCTTAAAGTAAATATACAGCTAATCGCATGCAGAAAACTTATTTTTCTTGAATTTGAGAAGGTCAATTTTAAGAATAACTACAACGTTAATCTTTTTTATCACCTTTTGATCTTAACGGTGACTTCTATTCAAGCAGTAATGTTTTATAAACATTTTTCTGTTGTTAATTGGATGATATAGTAGTGAAAGCATTTAAAAATTTAAATCGAAAGTGTTTTGGGGCTTGTAATAGAAAATTTTCTGGAATTCTGGATTATAAGTCTAAAAAAACAATTCTATTATGACCAGTAAAGATTATTTTTAATTAGTAAATGAAACTAATTACAATGAAATTATTTTTCACACTAATTAAATAATAGCAATTTAAACAGGGCGATAAGTATGAACTTATTGAAAGCTGGGGTGAACAGCGATATAAAATTCGGCAACCAGTGTTATCTGTATTTGATGTTATGAGTGGCAATATTACTTTACTGGATCAAATACCTGATAGTATCACTCCTGCTTTTGTTAGTTTCAAGTTTTAGTGCTTTTAATTATACCTTTTTGAATATATTATTAATCGGAATATGTCAACATATAGGAATATTAGATAGTGGATTTGAAAGACTTCCTTTGCTGCAGTTTGAATCTTCGTTGTAGTTTCCTTACTGGTTGTGCTGTCCAGCTTTTTGTATTATGGGAACATAATTCCATTTTTACTCTTACTCTCTGTTCTTCTTACTTTTACTCTAATTCTCTGCCCAAACTTCATTCTTCCTATTTAAAAAATTGCAGTATATTTGGAGTCCGAATGATGAAGGAATTGTGTTTTTTGGAATTCAGAATGCTCCTGTCAAATTGGGAAAAATATATTGCAATAACAGAGAGTTAGTTTATACAGTCATTTCATTTCAGATGAGGTAATAGTTTCCAAACTTCATTCAGTTGTTTGATTTTCAGAGGAACATTGTTCTATTACCAGTTGAATTCAGCAAAATTAATTCCATTGAGTGATAAAAATGTTTCAATCGAAGGACTATCATTTTCTCCAGATAAATCTAAATTGATTTATTTTCAACGCCAACCTGGTGGACCTCATTGTGCATCAGTTTCTTGTCAGTTGGTAAGTTCCACTATTAGTCATCATGTGCAAAAGCTTCTTTGAAAACATCCATACATTTTTCAGAATTATTTCGAGTAATTTGCCTTTCATAGATATTAATAGCTTGAAATCTTTATTCCCGTTTTTCCGAAAAATTGCAGAGCAGTCTAGCTCTTAACAATATTAATTATGACACTGCAATGACTAGTAATTATATCTACGTTTTATTGACTCACCCCATGAGAAGTTGCACTTTTTGAACCAGTCAAATTGGAGGATTACTATTACCTTGAAATTGAGTTTTTATAGGAACGATTTATGATAGTTGGATATGTAGATTTTTTTAGATCGACTGGAATAGAACCGAACAACAACTACTAGTCCCAATCATCATTACAGTCAGTGGTATTGTTCTTAGTATTTTCTTATTAGTAAAAATTCCAGCCAAAAGAAACATTTTTTAACACAAAAAGTGTGTTTAACATTCATTGAATAGTTTTATCAAATTGATTATTGTCATGATCGAGATGCAGTTGTTAAGATCGACTGAATAAAACCGAACAATATAAAGCTAAAATTATCAAATATTTTTCTATTTTCTTTTTGTAGGCCTCGTATACTTTTTTTAAAGTCGTTATCTTTCATCAGATCGTGAACAATTCCCTGGACTGTATGCCGTGCAGTTAGTCGATAGATCGTGGTCCAGTGACAATAAACGAGTATTTGTTTCAACTGTGTGGGGTTCTAAAAGAGTGAGTTCAATTTTTCTGATCAAACTTAATTAGAATGCATTGTGGTAGTTCTCATTAGCGTTTTTTTTGACTTTCAGGAAATTGTAACTATTAGCACTTTTTTTTTTACTTTTTCAGGAAATTATAACTATCAACACGGAAACAGGAAAGTTAGACAAAGTCACGAATAATGGTATGAACAGTTTGTATTAATTAGAATTTTATGTTTTGCTAGTTATTTTCTAATTTAGAGATGAGTGATTTTCTGAGAAAAGAATGGTTTCAACTGCTTGCTTGATTCACGCATATTTTAGCTTAGGCAGTCATTTTTTTTTTATCTGAAGACATTTAAAATATTAGCATGATGCTGTAGGAGGTGATTATGGAATGTAATATAGTCTTTGTCATAAGGCATTTCTAAGTGTGTTATTTCAGGTGCCTTTCATGGAAGTTGGACGGTGCTTGATGTAAATGAAGATTGTTTGGTAGCGGCTTGTAGCGCGCCAAATCGTCCTCCAACTATCCTTGTTGGTCATATTCCAGAAGCCGATTCGAAACAAATGGTAATTACATTTTTTGCTTATACTTGTTTTTCAGTTGAACCATAAAAATAAAATTTGTTTTTATGGAAAAATCTTATCAGCTTGCATGGGAAATTGCGTATTATCTTGAAATTTTAAGTTTCACTGCTTCAGAATCAAAGAAATAAAGTGATAAAAGTATTGCACGCTGTATTCCACTGAATAGTTTGTATAGGTTGATTAGGTGACTCCTGTTTGAATATTGTATGAATCATATATGAATGTTGCAGATTATATGGACCAGGCTTGATAATAGCTCAGCTGTTGAAGTTCGCTTGAAATTGCTCGGTTTTTCATGGAAGTTGATAGATTTCGATAGAGGAGGTCAGTATTCTTTTGATATAGCTGATAGCTATTCTTTCTCCTTCCCTTTTATTACGATTGATATTTCGAAAAGTGATAATTTTTTTGTTAAATTTTTCAGTTCGAGGTTCATATGAAGGTCTACTCTATATTCCAAATGAAACCGATATTGTTCCACTAGTTGTAATACCTCATGGTGGACCACATAGTGTCACAATTGCTAGGTGCCTCATTTTATTCATTGTTTGTGATATTATTATAGTTTTTTTTCAGTACTAACGTATTCGTATTTGTACCTCATTTTTGGTGTCTTGAATATTGTGTAAATCTTCCTCAAAAAGAAATTTCAAAAAAAGTAATTTCAAAACGAAAAAAAAGCAAAAATTAAGGTGAGAATGAAACTGGAGCTGGAGCTCTGATAAATGTATTCTTCTTTAGCAACTACTTTGGTATTTTGATATTTCTCAATATTTCAGTTGGCCAAGGCGTGAGATTCTGTTGTTGTTGAACTCCGGTTATGCATTGCTTTTCGTAAATTATCATGGATCACTTGGATTTGGTAACGATTTCGTAAATTCATTGCCTGGTAACTGTGGTGATTTGGACGTTAAAGATGTTCATGTAAGCGAAGTTATTTTGATATTAATATAACTCTTCAATGCGACTTGCAAACTTTCAGGTTTCGATTCTTAACAGTGCCAGATTAATTATTGCTGTTTTAAAAGTTTTCATTAATTGTAATGAGTTTTACATGCAAGTTTTTCCTGTTCGTTTGTTTTTAGTTTAACTTATTGCAGTTTGCTGTTCAAACAGTGTTAAACATGGAATCAAGGTTAGATCGTTCGCGAATTGCAGTATATGGTGGTTCACACGGTGGTTTTATTGTCAGTCATCTGATTGGACAATTTCCTGTAATTTTTGATGTTTAGTTGTCTTTCCATTTTCAGCTAGAGATTACAGTATCAAGATGTCGTTTTTTCTTCCCAAAGTTGACAAATTTTAGAATTTCAGGACTTCTACAAAGTGTGCATTGCTCTAAATCCTGTTTTAAATATTGCAGGTATCAGTTTATCTCTTTTACATCACGGTTAGCGATATTACAAAATTGAGTTTTTCAATGTTGAAAAGTGGAAAGATCGTCAGCATAGTGGCTGACTGTTTCTGATTAGCATATGCTCGTTTATTTTCGTTATTTTTTTAATCCATGCCTACTTTAAGGAATATAAGAGGACTTTAGTTTGGTAACAAATAAATATGTGAATATTTTGTACTGGTAAATATTATTGATCATTTAAATATTTGTTAAAATTTTTAGCAATGTATGATTTATCAGACATCCCGGATTGGTAAGTTTTTTATTCTTTAAGAAGAGCCAAGCAAAAGTTTCTTCTGCTTGTCATTTATCCATGCGTATATCTTTGTACAGATGTTATATTCATTTCTGTGATTACTCAGAGGAAGGATTTTCTACTTTCGAAATTAAATGTATATAGAAAAAATAAAAAACTTTTCTTGGAAAGTCTTTTTTTGTACTCGTAGTGCTTCTGATATATTCGACAGTATCGAAAACTAGGTAGATGACTCAGTAGTTTTAAAAAATGATGTAATTAATGCACATTTGTTAGCAATATAGCAGCAGAACCTGCATTTTTGCTATCCAGGTCAGTCGTGGAGGGTCTCGGGCGAAGTGTAAATGGTTGGCAGAAAATGTTGACCGCGGAAGACCGTGAGAAAATGTACCAGAGTTCGCCGATTGCTCATGTTGAAAAGGTTTTTAATTTTTCGCCTGTTTTTTATCTAATGAAATTCTTTGGATACTGATTTAGCACTTTCATATATCAATGAGAATAGGTGAGAGCGAAATGAACTGTTAGTGAAATGGGAGAGTAAAGCAGAAGTGTTTGGAACATTTGTAATAAAGCCGAATTTTTGTTTAGCTCGAAAGAGTTTTCTTATGAGAACGAAAATGTATGATTTCAGAATCAATGTTTTAGGTTGTTACACCATACTTACTTTTGATCGGTGAAAAAGATTTACGTGTTGTAAATCATTATCGAGCTTTCATTCGTAATCTAAATGCACGCGAAATTCCTAATAAGTAAGCTGTTTAACAATTGAAAAATAAGCTTTCTTCCTCTTGTAGAATTTTCAATGTTTTATTTTTTGGTCTTCAAGAGAGAAATAAAGTTGTTTAAAGTGGTATATTTAATCCTATATATGAACATACTTCATTAGTGTGAGGTATAACTGAAACACTGTTCATTTTCTTCCATATTATGGAAATTCAGAATTCTGTCGTATCCAGAAGCGTGTCATTCTCTGGAAGAAGTTGATGTGGAGGCAGATTGCGCAATCAACATCGTTCGTTGGCTTGATAAGTATCTCCATCAATGATCTTTTGTTTCTTCCATTATATTATTTGATAAACTTCCGAGTTACTTGTTTACTCAGTAATTTGGCTGAAAAGAACCGGATGGAAATTTTGAATGTAATTTTAATAAATTACTTTCAAGTCATCAAAATTTTCTTAAATGTTATGATGTCGCAAGACGATACTCCATAATATTAATAGAAACTCCCTTGTTTTGTAGAATGAATTTAGCCAATTGTAGTTATTTGGTTGGAATTTAAGTTAGCTGAAACTTTTGTAGGAAGGGTTCAATGGCTTACAAAAAGCGCTTAAATAACTAAGGTTTAAAGTTGTAAATCTTAAAATAATAAAAATGTTACAGCAATTGGAGATGTGTGCAAGTTCCGCGTTATATATTTTTATTTTCCTAATATAACCTTTTAATTTGCAAAAATACACGAGAAGAAAATGTAACTTTGGATGTTATTATTTGGTCTGTAATGTAAGAAAGTTCTCTGATTTGTTTCATTTTTTGCAATTCAGTAAGATAGCAATAATTTGAACAATGTTAGGAGTCAGTATGAATTATTGCTATCTTATTGAATTACAAAATATTGTTGTTTGAAAACTGAATAGTAACATTACAATATGTGGATGAGTGGAAAGATATGAAAGTGGATGATTCTTTGATAGTTGTTTTCCATGTCTCCTTTCGTTACTTCCCAGAATGCTACACTTATGATTCCCATGATTGCGTACATGAAAACTGTAAGGAATACGTTGAGGAGTATTACGGTTCATCGGTGGTTTCTCGTTATGCAAGGAGAGGGAGCAATAATGGTTTTCTGATCTCAGCGACTGTCGTGTGGAGGTGTTTTCATCGTTGTCGGGATGAACTGGGTGTATCGTTGAAGTGAATCGAAGATCTCTTCCTGCAAAGCATTCATGATCAGATTTGGAAATTTGATAGCATAAATTAGGTACATGGGAATCTCTGTGCTACTTAGTTTCATTTTCTGACTTTACGGGTGTGTTTAATATTGCAATTATTGCCGTTCAGGGAAGAAAATATTTTTTGTAGTGTGACAGGAGTCTGTAAAAGCATTCATTTTGAAGTTTAGAATTTCACTGCTTTTAAAATAATTGCGAAAGTGGTTGGATGTTGACGTTCTTGTTTTCGGATAGATGGATCGCTTTTTCAACAAAATAAAAAGATTGAAGACGGAGTATGTACTGCTTCCATTTATTTTATTCGAAGTACATTCAATTAACTTCACTATTTCTCTTCCATGGTAGAGAAACATGAATTCTGACTGTCTTAATAATGGCTGGGAATTGTGTACGGTAAGTGAATCGGAATCAAGAATTTCTGAGGTTATACGAACAATCCGTGGTACGTAAGAAATCGTATTAGGAAATTGCGTAGAAGTGGTCGGGAAGTAGCTCTTCATCATGCATTGTTCATTTGTCTTTCATATTTTGGTTGATCGATTGGCATCGATTTATTTTCCGTAGGAATATTATTCGATAGAATCGGATCATTTATTACGAGGTGTGATCCTTCTAAGTTGATATGTTGCTAGTTATGTTTTGTGGTACATCTTGTAAGAATTAGTTAAGATCTGGCAGAGGTTTAATGGTAATTAGATTTATTTTTGAATATTGTCTTTTTCTGCTTTCTCACAATAAGAGAAATGCTAGTGAACAGAAAAATTCATTATTTTCATTTTGCACACATATAGGTATCTCAGGTAAGCTTTTAAGATGGTATTGGAAAGGAAGAGTGCAAAATAAATACCACGAATAGACTAAATAAAAGGTCTAAAGTGTACGATAAATAGCAGCAGTGAATTAGAGGGATGAATAATTTGCTAATGATAATGACAAGAGTGCTTGTAGCAGTATTAGTAATGATATCATATCGGTAGCACCTTACTATTTGTAACATATCGATGCTCAGGCTTAAGTTTGCTCAGTCAAAGAGAAGATTGTTATTTTCCATTTATTGTCTTGCTATCCAGCTTATCCGCTTTAGCTAAGCAATTCTGCTAGTGGAAGGGGAATAATGTGAACGAGGGTACCACCGCCTGTTACGAATGGCCGTTAGCGACTGCACCGTACACACACACACCCACATATGAATATGTAGTGTAGTTTCAAGAGGAATGTAGACCGAAATGTGCTAGCAGATGAATGGTACGGGAGAAAAGAGGAAGAAAGAGATTGTGACAGTTTCTCCAACTCCGAGCGACAACATGAATAATGACAGGCACTGCCAAGCTATACCACAGTGACCAGACCGAATAACAATTTCTATTATTCATTATCATTTGAATGGATATTGATGTGTACCATTGTCTGATCCTAGTGAGTTACAAATGTCACGTGTAAACTTTCTTTTTCTAGTTAGGTCATCATATTATCTTTAAAAAAGAGCATTAATGACAATCTTCAGAACAGTATGATATGGAACGTGAAAATAGAGGTCAATTCATTTGATGTTTTCAATAATGCTGGCTCTCTGTTACGGAGTTGGGCAATTTTCTTCGTGCAACTTTTCACATTATTTATTCACGATGATGAAGTATTGGAGGAAGAGTGCTTCCATAAGCTTGATGGGGTTCGAAGTGTCCTCACTAAGGCTAACACACTTAATTATGGACTTTACTGCTTTAGAATAATTATAATACGAACATTGCTGTCAACGAATATAAAATTTTATATCATCTTATTGTTCACTAAAATACTTTCATTGCACATTACAGACACTCGATTATTATATTTTTGCTAAGACAAGAAATTTGAGCAGAACTAATTCATTCGTTCTCAATTTCATCATATTTGTTGATGCTCGTCTGACTAAATTGCTATTTTTGATGATATATAGCAGTCCAATAGACATACTCATCATTGGAACGCATCTTCATTTACATATTTTAACGGATAAACTGCACTTATGAAAACGATTTAATAGAAGAACGTCTAATCAAATCGGACCATTTGCAACTCTGATAATCATCGAAGTGTAATGAAAAGCGTCACTCTGTTTTGTTTACAATTGTTTAAAGTACATGGCGATAGGGTTCATGTGAAATTTCATTCGAATCACAGGCCGATGCTTTTACCTCTATCCTACTCGACATTCATACGCGATACGGCACTCTCTACTGCTGTTGCTCATTGCTTTTTTTCTTTCAATTTCAATTTTTCTTTTCATAGCATTTAGTAAAGAGCCCTTTATTGTTATTTTATCCCTAAAATTGTAAAAAAATGTGCCTTTTGCACAATATTTCTTCCTTTTCATTTCCATCCAAATTTTTACTACAAACTTTCCACTTTTCGAGATGGTTGCACTCTCGTCCTTTAGCCTTCTCTCTTATTTCTTTTTCTGTTCTTTTAAATTGGACAAAAAAGAAAACATTTGCTTTATTTACATTTATTCATATTAAAAGACCGCTTCTTCAACACACGCGTGGAAGGTAAAGAAGAACGGTGTGATGATTCTGCTAAGTACGTTATTGCCACGGTTGGTTCACTTCTGATGGGGGAGTGAAAAGGTGTGACCCAATTGTCCGTTCAGTCAACGCACTATTTTCCCTGCTACCATTCATTATCTATTTCTACACCATCATAGTACCAGCCTTTCTTCTTTTAGCCGCACTATTCACTGTAGCAAATTTTCCTCAAAGTCGTCATTCAATTTTGGAAAATGGATAAGGATAGGGACACTTCAGGGGACACTCAACTCTATTACTCCGAAATCCGGGAGTGTGAGGAATACGACTGATGCATGCTGCTATGCTCTGTACGTGTTCTATGTGATATGTGTCTGTTGTGTGTGTGTGTGTAGCGAAATTAGCAGTCAATGACCCCGTTAGGATTAAGTTGAACTTTTTTTGAACGAGGTTAAATCTCGTCTGCGTTGCTCTTTCTCTCCCCGCCAATATTTGCCAGACAGAACGCGTGTGCGTCCGTATCTTCCATCTCCTTCGATGTGACACAAATGGAAGCCCTCCCACTCATCCCAACTCAATCCACGTTTGCTATCTGCAGATCGATGAAAGGCTTCCTGTACATTATTCCGTTCCATCTGCTGCTTATGCTATGCTTTATTCAGCGTTGTTCTTCATTGCTTACATTTCTACCAGCGTGTTCACCTTCCCTCTTCCTCTCTTTCCATTTCTTTCTTTTCCTCTTCTCACTGTGTGTTCATTATTGTGGGTCGAATGTCCACTTTGAAGGACATTCTCATATTGTGTTCCTTTGCTAATTCTGATTTTTTTTTTGTCTCACTTCTGTTTTTAAAAGGTATCGTTTTTTGCAAATGGATTTGTGTGCATAAAAAAGAACGTTCCAAATGAGTGGAAGTTTGTTAGCTGTTAGTTCAACTGTCTGATGTGCACAATAGTGCACCATTCAACTTTTAATTTCCATTTTGACTGCTAATACCAGAATTTCCGCCTGCTAATGACTAATAATAATTTTTGAAAGTATTTCCGTATTTTTTATCATTTCGTTATTTGGTAAATGTGAAGGAAAATATGTGAAGGAGTTGCACAATGCATGTGTTTATGTAATAGTAAAATGTAAGACAAAAAACATTATTCTATAACTCTTCCGTAAACTTTGCTACTTAGTAATATCTGTTTATTAATTTTAGGATTATTTTTTTATTGTGATTAGTGGGATCGATGCCGTCAATATCAGCTCTCTCACCTTATTACTATAAATCATTTCGTCCTTTGAAAAATGATTATAAGACTTCGAGAAGTTTTGGTAACGGACATCCAACTTCCACATGTTACACGAATGCACAACAATCTGCACAGTTCACGCAGTCTCTTTTTCGCTTAGTATTGCAAAGTCAGGTTTGTATAAACCCTTGATTATGTTCGTGTTACGTTATTGTTAGTATGTATTATTTTTTAAATTTATGGTTAAGGAATAACGGTTATCTCTTTTAATTATAAATTAATAAAATCTGAGAAGATTCCGAAGTATAAGCACATTGATTTAAGATGATAACATACTGTGACCACTATAATGAGCTCATATATTCAAAGCATCCAGTAATTTTCAGACCGCATATGCTCAATACGTGAAGCTCATAGCATTGTTCGTATTTGCTGTTGTCCATGTTGTCTATATGATACCATTCTTACACGCTTTCGCGGCTGTGGCTTCCGGCATGGATATGACTGATGTGACGCCTAGCATTGGATCGTTCCATCTTCGACATTTCGTTGAAACTCTTGCTGATGTGAGTCATTTATGTTTATTTAGAATCTGTACAAAACTCAGTCTATTAAAATTACTAAAAAAATTATCATCCATGACTTATCGTATGGACAGTAAGGTTCCCAAACATTAATTTAATTTGAATGAGGAATTAAAGCTAGGATTTAAGTTGCGAATTTGACAAGTTTTTTATGATATTGTAGACTTCTGAATCAAATACAAATGAATCCATTCATTGCTTTAATTGCTGATACTCTTTATTTGTTTCTTTGTCGGTTTCACTTTTTTTTTAGTACAAGAAGAACATGTGGATGATTGTGGGTAGTATGTGTGTTGCGCTGTCTACTTCGTGTTTTATCCTTATGTTGAATACTTCATCACGGAAGATTGCTTATGATATTGTTGTAAGTCATTTCTTAATTGTATTTCCCTGCTAACTGAAATCTTTTATATAAGTTATATAAGTACTTTTTGTCAATTTTCGATATAAAGCATCTGTAAATCTCATTTTTTCATACGCAATGGTGGATGAATAATTCGAAATTATTTTTTTTCTTTGAATGAGTTTTTCTTTTGCGTTTATATTGACCCATTTCTTCTATTTCAGATACGGGGCATCGATCTTTTGACTTTTGGTACTTTACCATTTTTTTTGATCGCTAGGCTGATTTTATTAAACAGCATCTTTGAGCAACTACCTGTTGTACTCCGTGAAATTCAATTCTTACAATATTCAAAGCAACTAAGTACCATACTTCATTGCTCATTTGTACCTGTCAAAAAGGTGAACACATTAATATGCTCTTTATCGAAGCTTATTCTTTGATCTACCTGTCATTAAGAAAAAGTTCCTTCCTTCGTTACGTGAACGCAATAAAGTATAGGATATATTTGATTTTGTAAGTTTTAGACAAACAATGAAAAAAAGTGAATTGTAGATAACAACTGGATTTCTTTATTATTTCATTAAATCAAAATTTGTTTTAATTTAGGTCTCATTATGCGATCAGGTTATACGAAATGCTCTTTTTCCGGCATACATAATCAAATTTCTCATTATCTTGGCCATCTTAACAATTGCTTACATGCTGTTGGCTTATTTAATCGAATGGTGTTTGAGACACTGGTTTCCACCGCAGTGCAGTCCTTCCAAACACACATCCATCTATGCGCCAATCTCCATGACTGTTTAAACCTATGATGTGGAAATTGCCATGAGTGAATCGAATCATTCAGAAAGCATTTCTTTTGAAGAAATTCTTCTGTTCTTCAGATCAGTGAGGAGTCTACTTGCTACAATTTATCAGTCAACTTATTTCATGTTTTGTATACAATATCCTATGCATGGGTAAAAGTTATGCATAGTGTGCATGTTATTCATGTTATTTTCAAAAATATTGTTTTTCTATCTTGCCATGTTAGGTTAGCTGTTAGAATTATGCTTATTTCCTTAATGTATTTGTACAGAAATATTTATTCCTTACCTGAGATAAAGCTAATTTGTACAAAGTATAAGGAAAGTTATTTTAAAAGAAAAAAGCTTCTTCTCAGGAATGATTTGCTGGATGTGTTGCATGCAGGAAAGGTATATTAAACTTGCTCTGTTTTTGTCAGAATTTATTTCTGATCTTGATCTTGAAGCAGTTTTGTAGTACAGTTTATCAAGCTTGAATTGTTTTATTCTACAGTTTTACTTGTCAGTTAGTTTTATCTCGAATTTTGCTTGTGTGCTATGATAGGATGCAAGCTCTTTTCCATTTTTTTGTAGAAAATGTGAGCTTGTATTGTTTTGTACCTCCCTGTGCAAACACATCGTCTTTCGACTACGCTTTGATTTCGGTCGTAACGGAATAAGCATTGTTGTCTGTCGCCGTTTTTTCTTAATGTCACAGTCTTTTGCAATTTATTTATGTTTCCTTATGTTTCTTTCATTTTTATGAGTCAATTATTTTTGATAAATTTTAGAGCATTTTCGCATGATTTTAATATTAATTCCATTTATCAGTGTAAACCCTCACATAATAGTTTACCGTCCATGAATGTTTGGCTTCAGATCAATTTGAAGCTGTCACATTGGCCTAAAAAATATCAAAGCATGTTTAGAGAGCAATTAGGCCAATTACGAAAATCGGGCAAGGGTCAAGTCCATTTTCGAAGCATGTAATAAATTTTTGCATTATTTTTTATGGTATTTTCCATTGCTGCTAACACTTTTAAATGAAGATTGAGATGATTTTGTAAGTCACTGATTGTTAATATATAATTCCCTAATATCAGGAGGGAGAGCTTTGATTTATGGCTGATTTTTCAAAAGGCCGCAATTCTGAATTTTCGGAATCATTGTTTTCCGAAAGAAGTGAAATCCGCACATATGATCAGAAACAAATTCTATTTCTAATCTTAACATTCAGAATCGAACAAAATTTAGGACTACACCGACGCATTTGATTGATTAGCATATATTTTTTGGCCATGTTTTCTTCTTTTTTCTCAGACGTACGCCGTTAGTACTACCTTTGTCTACTGCACTGCTGTGTAAGGGCAAAAAGATTTTTTTAATCTTTTGCGCCACTGCTTACAATGAATTCTAGTGACAGCAAAGTTATTGTTAAGATACCAAAGTTCAGTCCTAATTGTAATATACGCCTAAAACTTCCAAAGTCAAGGCATGTTCTTGACTTGAATATTATTGTTTCAAGATCAGATGAGTGTTGTAATTTAAAAGATGACTGTTACGATCCCGACTGATCAGAAAAGCTCACCAATACCTTCAAGATGGACGTACTCACCAATCACAGAGGGGACTCTCATGCGACCTTGAAAGCAGAGGCTTAAAAAGGAATACAGATTAAAAAAGGGTGAGGGATGCAGACTATCACTTGACCAATATATACTCTCAGAACACATATTATGTACATTTTTATCCCAATAGTAAAATTTCTCGGCACAAAATCTTGAAAAATAGTTAAGCCTTTTGTAAGTATGTACATAAGTCCGACTTGTGGATAATTATCTATATACAAAATTATTGAAAAAAACAGGACTATACACAAATACGAAATATGAACATAACAGAATCGAAAAGTCGCACAACGAGTATGAAATTCAAAAAGTGACATGTAAAACTGGAACTTTACTTGGTGGTTTAATGCTGACTGAACTCCCCCAAATATTCTAGCTGATTTGAAGGAAAAAATAACAAATTCATTGAAGTATCGTATTCAGGACATTACCTTCCCTTCCAGATATCTATAATATATCTCATGTGATTTCTATGCCTCTGATCTGTCCGATGACAGATCAGCTAACTCAAACTGTGAATACCTAAGGCAAATTTTCATTAATTATTGCAGTGGCAGCACTCCGTGTGTCTTCTCCAACACTGGAGTGTTTTTTAGGCAAAGGCGGTGGTGCCAACTTGAGCGGTTTTGTCGACAGGGCCACAGATCCGAAATCTGTATTTGAATAGTAGCGTTCGCAATCACTCTGGAAAAGTTTTTTTAGTAACAAATTTAGTGTGATTATTTGAAAATATGAATTGCAAAAAATACCAGAAAAAATGTGATATTTAAAATCAAATCTGGCTGCAAAAAGTTTGTATGTAACAAGTTTCTTTCTACCCGATAAATCTTCGCGTTTGAATAATTTTGTTCTACTACATTATATCCCTCTCTGTTAATTTACCAAGTGATTTTTTTCAATTTACTTTTGAATTTTAAATGCATTACAAAACAGCATCTGGAAGCGTACTATAGATGTTGGCGTAGTTAATACACTGGAGTTTTTGGAAAGGGGACTTGTTTGTGACATAAAAGTTAATGGACTGTGAACAGAAAGTGGCGTTCCGGGATTTGATCCACTTGAGAAACGTGAATTGCAACGTTCCCTACGCTGAAACCATAATCATAAGTATATAAATACACAATATATAAATCAATTATTTACAAACAGATTGTTCATTCAATTTAATTTTAGATATAAGAGCTTGTCAATCCACATCTTTATGGATTTTCTCATTCTTTCATCATGTTTAATGAATTTTTATCATTTTTTTAAATTTAAAAATATTAGAAAAACATCGTCATGGAAAGAGCATCTAGAAATAAGCTTTCTAAATATGCTGTAATCCACATAAAAGAAGAAAGGAAATTCATGGCACGGGAATAATGCTATGTAAAAAATAGAGATTATCTGATTATGCTTAAATCTTTACATTAGCTTAGTGTTTTCGACACAATTATGCCACCTTACTGAATTTCTTCCTACCAACAACTCTTGTAACTATCACGTATAACTCACTTCAGAATTAAGCTTTTGATTAATTACAGCCATATAATGGGATACAACTTGATACACAAAGCGATATTGCTGTTCAGTTTGTACCATACCAGATCGCTGCTCACGAACCATTTGTACAGTACGCGGGATATCTATTTGGCAATGTGGCCCTAAACAATTTTACCACTCCGATCATTTTATATTGAAATTTCAAAATTTTATGTCTTACCAGTATCAATGTACATCATAAAGAATTAATGAGAAGTAATGAAATCAATTAGTAAAGTTTTGCATGCGATATGAACTTACCTAAGCGCTTAATTTGGTTGAGAAGAATATCAATTACAATGATCGTCCCGGTACGACCTATACCAGCACTGAAATTGCTTGAATAATAACTGGAACGGACAAAAATAAATTCCCTTTCAAAATTCAGATGTTATAATAATAATAGTCAGCAAGAATTACCTACACTTATATTTTGGTTAATTAAATCAGAAAATTCAAGTCGCATATGTAGGTCTTATCCATATCTTAACCTGCAGTGCACAATGATTGGGCCGGAATTTTCGTCACAGTGATGTTCCTCACATTCATTCACCTTCTCAAGAAAATGTAAAACAGTTCTAGGATCCGTGGGGCAGCCATGATCCGGCCAACCAAGAAATTGGAAATGCCATATCAATCGGATTTCATTGTCTGGAATAATAAATTATAGAAAAGCATATTCAAAACTATTTTTTCTATTTTGCGTCAAAAGTTTAGGCAATATTTTTTAAAAAAATCGCTAATAATTGAAAATGATACCATGGCTTGTATTCATAAATTGTATCATGCGCATTGTGTAGTCCGGATTTTCAACTTCCTATGAAATAATAAAACCTGAATTTAATAAATCTTTTTTTTTCGAAAAAAGATATAAGTGTTACAGGATAATACATTTAATGGCATTAGTTACTTAAATTAATTATGAAACAAAAGATACCTGCATCGACTTAACAACCAACTCGCCATTTTTTCCGAACTTTTCTGTCTCGTCTTTCAGAGGCCAATATCGGCAACATTTGATCTGAACAAATGATATATTAACTTGGAAATTGGAATAACAGCTGCTTGTTCTTGTTTTTATAAGGGACCAATTAAACTTCAAAACAGGACACACCACTTCTGATTATAGTGCCAGCAATACAAAACTACTGTTGTAGTTTATCTTTGTCTTATTTTTCAGAAATTGGAAAAATAACCATTTGTTTTAAGCTTTAATAATATAAAAAGATCAATATCTCAGTTTTTCAGAAAATTAATTCAACTTTTCGGGAAACCATTCTCAATTAAATCGACGAAAACTCAAAAGTACCGCAATAAACCCAAAAGCTAACCCTTCCCCTTTCTACTTCTTTTGTTGTCATAACGATAATTCGTGAATTCTGCTGCCAAACCATATTCCAGAAATCATCAATTGTATTCGGCAAGCAACCCTGTGTTGATATATAGCTTCGACGCAAACCAGCAAAATCCTGATATTCATCACTAAGAATCTAGAATTATCGAAGTAATTATTTCAGGAAAAAATCTCAGAAGTTCCTATCTTTCCGAAAATTATGGAAAGCATATGGACGAGAGACAAGCAGTTTTTTCTGGAAGAATGACGGAAGAAGAAATAAATTTAATGTAAATGAAATATTACCAAACAATTATTTCTGCATCACTGATGTTCAAAACGATTCGAATATAATCATATGATATGATATTAATATAAATAACTACGAGATTCGCTAACATTTTTTGGTCAATAAATTAATTATGGCAGAATATAAATAAAACCTCGACATGATTTGCATTGATATAATCACTAGAATCTGTATCATTAATATTGAGAACAATTCGAGTATGATCATATGGTATGATATTTTTATAGCGATTCTTACACACATTATCGATCTTCTTCCCTTCACGTCGACTTACGAATTGAGTCGGTTCTTGATGTTGCAACCTCTAAAAAAAAATCTTTAACAGTGTTAACATAATCATCAAGCTTCTCTCGATATGTTTTGAATACAGTTGTAGTAAGCTATTAATTTCGTCACCTACATCTTTCATTCTTGTTCCATATCAAAATAACTATGCAATTTATCATTTCTCAAATGAAAAGGCGATTTCCAATATTTCTTATCATCATGACCAACCTCGAACTCGTCTGCAAATCCATCTTTTCCTGTGGCACGATTAACCTGCTCAAGTCGATGGTAACGTGTATCAATACCAGTCGCTGGAACACGTGTTGACGGAAGGAGCTATAAATTTTATGCTACTCTTAAAACCACTTTTAAATTCAGTAGTAATGGTAAGAGTGCACTACAATAGCAAAACAACTTGGCATTATATAAAAAAGATAGACACCTGCTTAAGATTAACAACTGTCCCTGCTTGATCTACCATTGGATTCCTTGTATAATGTTCTAGAAGTTCACTGATTGTCGAAAATGTAGCTCCACCACCAATATCAAATTTATCATTCTAAATAAACAACTGGATTTTAAATAATTTGTAAAAATCCAGAGAGAATAGAAACTGATAGTAATTTGATTGGTAGTAACTTGCTAAGTAATTCTTAAAAAATATTACAGCAGTTATTCTCATAAGTTAATTATGCATTCAACCACAAAAAACAAAGAAAATTACCTTACTGTAAATCATCACGTGTATCACTTTGTCATCTGCAGCTTTCACTGAAATAGCAAATTGCCCAGGTGAACTGTGACTTTCTCTCACTAAGTAAGTCCCATGCTTGCCTTCAGCAAGAAGCAGTCGTTCTGCTTCCGGTCCTGATAAACCTGCATGAAACCACCTTTCTGTGGAAGGACGAGAAAAAGTCCATCCGACAGCTTCCGTTGAAGGTATTATCAAAGGACATCTGAATTGAATTGAGCAATTTCAATATCTGTTACACCGATTATAAGTTTAGAAACGGTTTCTTTTTAAATACGTCATATTTAAATCAATCATATTTAAGTTTCCTGTACATAAAAGCAATGAGTCATACTTTAAAACAATGACTTCACCATCCCTTTCTCGCAGCTGTCCTGGATTCTCAACGTAAAACTGAACAAGTTCCGAAAGGGATGCAAACGTTTCACCACCATACAAATCCAAACAATCTCCATTATTTTGTATCTTGACATGCTTAATACGATTACCTTTGCTAAAAGTTATTAATTCGATAATTATTTTCGGAGTTCTATTTGTTCTTGAAGTGAAACTTTGTGAAAGCGAGTATGCACTCGTATTAAGATACGAAGTCTATGGAAATAAGATATAACCTACTGAACAGACAGTGTGTAGTCGGATGGACTGGAACCACTGGGACGAGCTAAGAATGACCCTTCGATACCACATGTATTCAGTAGCCTTTCAGCATCCACTCCAGAGATGGGATAATAGAAATTTGATGGCCTGAAAAATGAGCTGAAGAAATCAAAGATATCATTTGAATGAATTCAGATATTAAAATAAGATAGTGTTATTTCGGAGGAATCTGTAAGTGAACTATCCTCTCAAAAATTTTCTGGCAGCATTTGAAAACATAAGCTAAACTATTTTCCAACATCTTAATTAGTTTATGCATTAGACAGTTGTTTCGACTAAATACTCTTTCAAATACTTATTAACTTTCGTGTACAGTTTTTTTTTTTGGATGATTCCATGGACTTCTCCCCAGGTGGCAGCGTGTGACGATAACAGAACCGAAAAATAAAGACCAACAATTCACAATTAAACTTAGATTTCTTTGAAAAAGCAACTATATCCAAGCGGAATGGATATGATAATTAATACCTTGTAGACATGTTTGTCATTTGATGATCGAAATATGCAACGATTAACAAGCAGTCAATTCATCGAAGAATTGTGTTGACAGCGATCCTTCACCAATGGCACAAATTAATGAAATAGTGAATTTGAAGAACCGTTCCATTAGCATTATGTCCTCCTGAATATCTAATCAATTATTTTTTTACTCACTTAATAGTTAAACAATTTGTTGAGTCGTTTTCCTTAGCATTTCACTTGAATTTGTGATGAATTTGAAATTTTATAAATCCAAAAAGAATGAATCTAACAAATGTTATCCTGAAATGATTTGATTTCAAGATAAGTTGAAAATTCTATCTCCAAAGTGCCTAACATTAATTCCACCACACACAAGCGCCAACTAACAGTTCCCAAATGGCAGACAGGAGCGCTTAGTGTACGGAATGTGCGGTACTTGGTAATCGCATTAAGAATATTATGCAAATTTTAGTCTTAATAACAGAGGTTTGAAATTTTTAAGTTTCTTTTGAGTGCACTGATTCCGAGTTTGGGTTTTAACGTGAAACGTAAAATGAGCTTGGAAATTGCTACGATACATCCTCTACTATTATTCCTTCATTTTTACTCTCATTCTTATGCAATATATTTTTGCAACTCCTTTGCCTGCAATAAATTACAATAAATTTTGTTCAATCTATTGAATGATTTGGATTTAGATAGTTTTAGTTTTTGATTAGCCAATGGTAGGATATTTCGATAATGAATATATCTTCGTTGTTTCCAATACTATATAACACCGAATGACATGTTTAAATCGTATATTTTGGGAGCAATAAATAATTTTCGAAATTCTGCATTAAATTGATTTCCATCATCTAATCATTTTTCATTCTCTTGAAATCTTACAGTGGAAAAAAGTATCCTAAATATTTTTTTATCCGATGTTACTGCTAAAAATCAGATGATGATATAATTGAGAGTTAGTCGCTAATTTATTCATTTCCGCTAATTTATTTATATAAGAGTTCGTAAAATTTCGTAACTCATTTTCGACCGCTTTTTCTCATATGATTTGCAGTTTTTTTTTTACTTTTTTTCTTCTAAATGAAAAATCTGTGTTGGTGGATTTTCCGGATCTCGCAAAAAAAGAAATGACTGACAATGTTAGCAGACTGACTATTTCTTACTTGATAAGAAACAAAATCTATTGATTGCTAATAAAATATCTATAATAAATGAACAGTTCATTAACGGATTGGATGATTTGCTCACAACGTTAACAGAAATTTGACATTTCATTTCTTCTCATCTTTTTCTTCATCTTCTGGCAATAAATAGTTGAATAAAGTGGCCAAAAACAGGCCTAGGTTTGCCGCTGCGGTGAGAAATATTGTTCCAACGATAAAATACATTGTAATTTTATCTGCAGTGATGGTAAATTTGTTAAGAATTGACCTCCTTTATATTCTTACATCTTTTTGAAATAGCACTCTAATTGTTTCTTCATATCCCTTTGAATGCTTATCCTGGCTAAAGGTTATTTTGGGTCATCATGTGTTTTCTTTGTGTCTTACATCAATTTATCATTTTCTAACCAGTAATCACTTTAAATTTTCAGGCTATTAAAATTTCTTAAACAATTTCTCAAACTTTTTGCAAAATTCTAACTCACCAGTCTTGCTCTGAATTGCAAAAAAATTATTTGTAGTAGGTGCATTTTCACTTTTTTGTTTCTGGATGGGAGGTGAATGAAGAATTCTTGAACTATTTCTAGAAGTGGTTGAAATATGCTTTGAGAGATCGATTGTTGGTATCGGCTTGACGCTTGTTAGAACAGTGAATACAGCGCTTGAATGCTTACCTGGAAAACGTTTGAAGATATTGCAGACTTTTCATTTTGTGTAGTAGCTGGAATATTGGTCTTAAAATTGCCTATTGAAAAGTTCAGTTTTGGGTGTGGTGCAATTTGAGAAATTGAGTAACTGTATTAATTAACATCTCTTTTCCGATATTATCTGAACAAAGTAGTGAGTTAAACATATGTTTCCTTTAAAAGCCTAATTAAAGCTTTAATTAGGCAGAGAAAATATTTAAAATATAGGCCGACAAGTGTCATCAATTCATTAGCCAGTGGAAAGATTCCTTTCATTTTGATATAAAGATTTATGGTTCATTTTACGAAAGTATTTCGGATCGTTGACCGACCACACAATTCTGATATATGCTACACAGATGAATATTTAAACAAAATCGTAGAATAGAATTAGTTTAACAGTTAATTGCTTGAACATTAACAGTACAATAGTACCAGTATTATAAATTTAATTTGAAATGAAAATAATGGATATTCATTGCACCTTTAACCATCTGGTAAGTTCCTGAATATATTAAAATCAAAACAAGATTTGTGATGCAATAATGAAACATTGTTGCTTTGAACTACTCTAAAAGTAATTTCGTAATCCATTATATATGAAAATTCTCAAAATATGCAAATTCATTTGTCAGCATTTGCGAGCTGTGAAATGTAATTTTTCGAAAGGATCAAAATTTCAAACACATTGAAAATAAGTGTGTTATGATGAAGTTATATTGTTGGATAATGCTTTCTATACTTTCTGTAAGATCAAGAACATCTCAGTATTTTCAATTCAATGATATGTTTTGTAAGTTCCAATGGAATTCATATCAGTAAAAAAATTTTTAGGTAATATTATAAAAGCATAATCGTGAGATTACCACTTCATTTGCAAGCGTTGTTAAAGTTATGTTATAATATTAATATCCAGCTTAGATGTGGAATGTATTCCGACTGCTCACTTAAAAGATTATTTGTACTACGGCAATGTATCAACCTATATCTCTGAGTCATTGCTGCTGACCAGTACCCCGAGATCGGTAACAAAACCAGCATCGTCATCATTGTCGGATCAGTGTGAAGTCTGGAAAAATGTAGTCAGTGCTATGACTCAGTGGGCAATAAATCATAGCATTAAACATTATTGGTAAGAATATTCAAATGTTTCTAAAATAAATAAAAAAACTAGCATTTTTGATAGAGTTCGGACGGGCATAAAGGCGTCAAAATCAGTTGTGACGTTTGATTCTAATGGCAATGATAATTCGCTCGAGAAATTTTGTAAAATGCTGCTGACATGTTGATCCGATCGTACTCATACTCTGTTTTATCTATGATGGGTCATTATTTGATTTTAGATCAGATACACTTACAACCATCAAATAAGCTGCAGTAAGAAGCACATGTAGTGCTAAACTATCTAATTCTAACTTTACTTTAATCTGAAGTTCTACACTCTTAGGCCTCATTTGTTCCCAAATGTTTTTTGGCTTTATTAAATTCAGGATATATCCAGATGAGTTCATGAATCACAAAAATTGTCGAAATTTTGATTTAACAGTGCGAAATAATGATAATAGTCGCCATCTGGCCGTACACATGAAGATAATCAAATCTGATGCATCAGCTGTAGGCCCGTGGTGCTATGCACACGATTCCGTTTGTTTCATTTTTCAGCATTGAAAAAAAAGCTTTCGTTCATTTTGATCCAATTTAACTATCTAACAAAAATGAAGCGCTGGTATGAACATCATTGTGATCTTTCAATTTTCACCTGTAATGTAAATTCTGACTTGTAGGATCGAGCGAAATTTTCACTGTTTATAATTGTGGATTTTGAAGTCAAAGATAAGACTGCTGACCGAAATTTTAAGAATGTTAATTGCTCAATTTAATAGTAATGAAATTTAGCTTAAAGCAAAACTAAGATTGACAGTGATTTTTCAAAAAAATGATCTGTATCTGCTCCAAGGATTAATTTCTCAAAGCTTGTAATTTACACCTTTCATAGTTCTAAATTTCACTTGTGTAAATAAGCAAGCATTAACAGTTTTGTATTTTGTGATACTCAGAAAATGGTTTTTGACTAATGTCTGGCTTACAGGATCAGTCGCATATGTCTTGAATGCTTTATAATTTTTAGAAGTTTTAAGCTCTGAGTGTTGATTCATTCTGCAAGTCTGAACATTGTTCTTCATACTAAAACATCTTTCGAGTAAGTAATCAAGAAAATCGGGTTGCAGTCAGATGAAATTATTGGTAAAAAAGTAAAGTATCAGACTAGACTATTTATTTTAATCTGAAAAATGTTTGTTTCTCGATTTTAATATTTCATAGAATTTTCTACTTAAAATAATCCAAATTCCAATAACAGCTAATTCTGAAACATAGTAACACTTTATTTGAGGCTCATTCGAAATACTACATAGCACGCTGTTTTCCGGAATGTATTGGGAGTAACTATCAGAATACCACAGTTCCTCCACGTGAGACTTTCTTGATTTATGCATATCTTTTATCTTTTCCGTTTTATCATTGTGACATTCCAAATCGCACTTCATCTTTGACTTTTGTAGGTCGCACTAAAATTCTGGCAACTGCGGATACGAAGCCAAACTATAATACGAAACTGATAGATTCGATTGCCATAAACGCTTTTAGCAAATACGAATGGGGGCCATCAACATATTATGATTCTGTATGCTGCTAATAATTTTATTCATTTTAAATTTCTGCACTTTGATCGTTTTTTCGAAAATTTTAATGAGCTTCATAGATGATTTGCCTTGGAGATTATTTCTTACTATACTTTTCGCGAAGTGTCAATGTAATGCTGTAACATGTACCAATTGAAAGGATCATGACTTCCTAAGCGATAATACTTAATACAGTGGAATTTAGTTTCTGTTGCAGTTGTTTCGCTTTCCTTAATGTCATTCTTTTCTTTGCTTGCCAAAATTCATTTATTTCGTTGTTTCTTATGAATTCAAATCATTTTCAAATATTATTTATTTTTGCTGAACATTCAAAGCTTTTTTAGAGACCGTCAAGTCTTTTATTGTCAGCTGAATTTGAAAAAAATCGTTACTCAATTTTCTTCGCTATGATTGCTATTGGTGTAACTATTATGATTTGTAGTATTTCATTTGTTATTGCCCGAAATTACATTAAAACAAGAGGAAAAAAGGTGAAACAGGTCAGTTATCCAAATCATAATTTTTTGTATCATAATATAATATGACAAGTTTTTCGATTCTAATTTTTGCACATTCGTCTCTCTAGTTCTTCGCAAAATTTTTTGAACTTGCTCAAAAAATCTCTTTCATATTTCTCCATTCTCTGGAATTTTTCAGGAAGAGGTACAGAGAAACATAGTTGAAGAAATACAATCAACAACAAAGAAATCAGCAATATCAGTTGCTCCTCCAGCTTTAAATCGAGTCGAAAAGTTGAAGCAAGAAGTTGGAACGCCCGTATGAAACAATATGTTACATTTAATTCTGTTCTTTTGTGGCAAAAAATTGTTAATTTATTGCATAAAATGCGTTGCACGGAAACCTGTTCTTCAAAATATCACAAGGAGAAAGAGAGAAGCTTAAATTAATAGTCTGGAATCTGTAACACTTCGCTCTTAATTTAAATTTTCAATAGAAATGAAAGTGATCTCTGAAGGACAGGTAGATCAGAAAGCGGAAGATTTCAAATCTGACGAATGCTTGTTCTATGATACTCATCTTATACTTTGCATATCTGAATAATGGAATGCATTCTCTCTACTCAGATATGCGCAAGTTTACCATTATAGTTATTTATCTGTTTTAAGTAACAGTTTCGAATGACATACTTTTCCACTGCAACAATCAAATGATATCGATCGATGTGATCAATGCAGTTTTAAATTGAGTACTCTGGGATCTGTAACACTTCGCTCTTATTTAAAATGAAAAACGTTCTGTAAAAGAGTTTTTTGAGGCGTCTGAAATCTGGGATGAAAATTCTTTTTCTGTTCTCAGATATTATCTGCGATATCAACATTTCTCGATTAGCCGTTCTTTCCTTTAAACAGGTGAACACTTAGTTAACAACCAATAATAAGAATACAAAATTTTTGAGCATTGAGTACTGAAACTTCTGTTTGCTGTGTGACATCATCGAATGAGTTCAGAGATTTGGTAAGTTTTTTGCATTAATAATTATAAAAGATTTGATGTTTGAGTAGTTTCGATTGTCGAAGTTGGATGGTTCGACTCTCTCAATTAGATGAAAAATGAATAGGCAGAATGTTTAATGAAGAACATTTCTAGTTTTTTCCTGATCCACTTGCATGATCATCATAATCCTATAATATTTCGATTTAACATGGATCAAAATCATTATGGTACCATGGACTCCTTAGAGGTATTCAATGAGTTTAACCTTTTGATTGACAATTACAAATTGGAAGTATTGAACTATAATTTGAAAATACCAAGTTAATATCAAAGCTGCATGACAGTGCAAAATATCAATGATAAAGTGTTCTCTTTTTTTTCCACTATGACACCTTTAGATTTTGCTTTTACTAAAAATCTGCTTTGAGATCAGGCAGGTGTTGTATTCTAATTAAGCAAAAATATTTGCAGTACTGAAATATATTTTTCATAAAATCTTATCTTATTTCACTAATTCTGTTTGATTGTGCACTGTTTCTAATTATCTTTGTTATTTTTATTATTACAATTACTTCCATGATTTGATACTCCTCCTGTTGATTTTAATTTAATCTTGTAAGATATTTTGCTTTATTCAGTTCTCATCTGATACAATGTTTACTGTTTTGAAACAACTGCGGGATCATTGTAATGTGTTGTTTATTCATTTGGAATAAAGTTTTGCTTGAAGTTTTCATTATTTAGTCAAGTTAGGCCAACGGTGAATGTGGCAGATTAGCAAATATCTTTGAAATTTATTTTTTTCGCTCGAGAAGCTATTTTACAATGCTAATTGAATTCCTTTATTGTATGGTAAGTGTGTATGGCTTAAAAAAGTATTCTTTATGCGCAATTCCTTTATCATTCCTTTACTCTTTTCAAAATGAATGACAGACAAAATAATGATTTGTTCTATAGATGGCAGTATTCTTTTGATCTTATCTGTTTTCTCTCATTTTTATCTTTCTTGAAAAGAAGAATTCGAGTATGCAATCTTTTTCAAATATTTCAGAATCATTAAAATTGGATGGAAAAAGATTCTGTACAAATTATCGATTTAATTACATAATATTTCCAAAATATTATGGGATCTCTTACATTATGCAATACATAGTGCGATATTGCAAATGTTCACTGCGACGGGAATGTTGATCAAAGCAAAAAAAGTATTCTTCGTCTATTTTGAAATTTTTTTCCCATTGTAAAAATAAAAAAATATGATTTTTCATTATTGTCAGTATTATATGTAGCAACTAAAATTTCAAACTTTGATGCTACTGTAAAAAAATAAACATACGAAAAAAACTTCTCTGTCGGTTTTTGAAAATAAATCTTTCTAAAATATGGAAAAAGAGAAATTATTATGGAATGGAAGAATTTTTACACAGAAAGTGAATTTCTTAAAAAAGTTAGCAACCTTTTCTTTCAACATTTCAACATGTCAACTTTTATTTTAGCAAAGTTTTCATTTCACTTCATATCATAAGTTGAGATTAAAAATGTACCTGAAAAGTGAGAGTTTTATTCTTGCGAAATTTTATTCTTGTGAAATTCGTTCCTCCTATGGGATAGAGTTTTATTCTTGCGGAATATGTAAATCTGGTCACTTTTAGATGTGAAAAAATTGATTGTCTTTTTTTTCAAATTAAAATTATGCATTACTTGTGCTTTTTATATATATAAATAGTCTGGACGTATATCAGTTTGGCAAAATTATGCATTGAAGCAATTTTCCTCCTGCTTCAGTGCATAATTTTGCCCTTTCTTTCCGAATATCCTCTCCACTCTAAAAAGTGATTTATTTTCATTTTTCTTAAAATAGCAATGGTACCGCAGCAAGGACCAGAAAAAATGATGAAGGAATCCCTCAAGTTCGAGATTTTATACTTTCGGATAATAATGAATTTTTGGAACATTATTCCCACAAGTAAAACTGATATACGTTCAAACCACTTATATTTTCGATGCGGATAAACTATCTTTTTTAATGTACATTCAAATCCCAACTTTTCATTTTGTGCTATGTGGAAAAAAAAAACCTATAATCCTTTTTTTCTTGAGACTTGGTTTTGCGCTTTCATTTGAATTAAAATTCAGAAAGAAGTAGTGCAAAAAGCAATTATAGCTTCAGATGCTTTGACCAAAAATTTATTTTAAAGCTTAAAAAGACTAATTTCTCTTCCACCTCAAAGGACAGAAGATGCGGCATTGTAATGTGAAGATCCAAATTTTTTAAGAAGCTCCAATTTATCTAAAGTCTATGGAAAATTTAAATTTTCAATTTAATATTAGGCAAAAAACTTATTTTTGAAATGTATACAATAATCTTCTGATTCTATTTTCAAGTTTCAGTGAAGCTTCTTTAATATCAGGAAACCTGAAGAAATAAATTGAATGGAACCTGAAAAAAAAAACATGAAAAATGAAGAAGCATTATTGTTCCGCAAGAAGTATATGGTGAGCAATAATTGTAATCTAAGAATTTGAAAAGCTGTTCAGTGGTTCTTATGAAGAAAATGTTTGAAATGAATTTAAGATCGAGACAAAAAAGATATCAAAACAGATTAACTGGAAAAAATAATACGGATGAGCCGTGGAAGAAAGGATATAAAAAAAAGGGTATATTTTCAGGGATGACTTCATTTCCATATATTAAAGAAAAAGCTGCCTATAAACACAGGACAAATAAAGAATTGAGGCCAGTGGAATAGATTGATGCTTAACATTTCGTGTTTAATTTTACATCGCCGAGAGGACGATATATTTATTTATTTAGCAAGCAAATACGCCTGCGATAATGCAAACGAAAGCCTGAGCTTGTGGCCATTAATCCGGTCATCTCGTTATTCTTATTTATTTTTGCAACTATAATTAGCTAATATATTTCTAAGAGTTTAATCTAAAAGAAAAAAGTTCTTAAAAGACTGAAATAAATTACAAAATTTCTAATTGTTAAAAATTCAATAGTTTCTATTTTGTTAGACAAATTGAACTTTACTATTTTTTATTTTTCTAAGATTAATAATAATTTCTGAATCTGAAAAATTTATGCGAGCAGCAAAGAAAGCTTCTCTTGTTTGAAAGAAGAATATGAGCACTTTACTGCTCGTATTGTTTTAATTTCTACTTGATAAAAAATAAGCAAAAGTTTTATTTTAACCTTAGTTTAACCTACTAATTAACTTCAATTAGTTTAATCACTCTATTTACTTTTGTTTAACTCTTTGTAAGATATTTCTTACGGTTTCATAATACTCTACAATGCTAAACAATTTGTTAACTTAATGAATTTTTATTTTCAATGGAACAAAACTTCCATTGAGAGCTCCAGAAAAAACAATTTTATAGAAGCCTAGTAAATTTAAAAAGATTTTTTTTAAACAACTTGCTCATCTTTCCAATGAAATTATCGCAAAACAATAAAATTTAGAAAATTTTAAAACATTTAATTTGGATGTTCGTAGAACTTGGATCAAAGACTTCTTTATCAGTAATTATTTGGCTCTGTTCCCAATGATTTGTATGATCAATTCTAAAATTTCAAAATCTTTTTCTATTTTCAGCTTCCATCTGTAAAACTTTTAAGCTAAATTATTCATTGCTCAACTCGAGTCTTTTCGTCAATAACACTAATTTTTCAATGTTTACTTCCTCGGTGACTTGGAAGAGAAAATTATCTTATTTTGTTTTTCAATTGAATTACTTATATTTATTTCGTACCTTTTAAATAACTTTATATTAAATGTCTATATTACTGAGTATACTGAAAGTAAAAGTTTGTAATTTCATCAGTTTTACCCTTTTTCGATTCATTTTTCTAAAACTTAGATAATAATTTATTTACATACTTAATTTCTAAATTTCATATAATGTTTAATTTCGATATTCTACTTCGTCTTTCACTTTTACGTTAGAATTCCTGGAAAAGATGTTTTGAATTTTAATTATGTTCCCAAATTTTCTTCAAATTCGATTTTCATATCTGTATGACTTCTTTTATCTCTTTCTTTTCCCATCATTACTGATTGTAAATCAGTTTAAAAAATTGTTCTTTGATGCATTTTTTCACATTCCAATCTCCTAAATGGTTACAAAATAAAAATTATAAAATATATTTTATTTCATATTTAACAATTTTATATATATGTCATTTTATTATTTCAATATTCTATCGGTTTTACTAAATTAATTTAAATTCATCAGTGATTCTAACTGCATTTTCAACAATCCACTTTCATATCCATCATTTCTATTTTTGGTTGAGATTTAACCCACAAAATTGTTTCTTCTAATCTATTATTCATTCCGTTTTAGAACTTTGGTTGTACAATTTATATAGAGCTCATTTGATTGCTCCCTTACTTTCAAATGTTATCAGAAGACGATAAGGTGTTATTATCAGTACATATCAAGACAGCTATCATTTTGGTACTTTGTACTGCGGGAATTATTGGCCATGTCATCTCAATTCATATATTCTATTCAATGATTAATCCAAATAACTTATTTATGATCAGTATGTCATGGTATGTTTTTATTCATTTTTCTCATTTACGTTTCAAAATTTTCTGTGCAAAAAACTTTTTTTATTCTGTAGAATAATTTCCAATTAAACAACTATTTGATTTCTAATACCATTCAAGTATTAAATGTGTTTTCGCCTTACGCTTAGGTAATTTTGAGAGTTGAATTACAACCCAATAAATAAAAGAAGAGAAAAGGCAAGCAAGAAAACAAAAGAGAGACAATGAAGTGGAAAAAATTTGATTCCTTAAAATTAATTCGTTGGGTTTCTATTTCTTTTTTCTTTTATTTTTATTATTTCCAATTTCTAAAAGCACAAATATTATGTGCTTAAAAAAGAAAAAGCAAAAATTGTGGACAAATTTCTGCAGTCATTATCAATGAAAGTATTGAATATGAGTTAGACTTACCATTTGATTTCTTACAAAAATTAATGGTATTAATGGTATAGTCAATATATTAGACTAACAATAGCAATTTAATATTATAATTTAGTATCATCAAATGGTAATCCATTCTGATAGAGTTAAATCTTTTTTATCAGTGGTTTTACATTAAAGTTTGAATTTCATTATTTCAACAACTTAAAAAAAACTGAAACACAACACATCTTCAAAATTTTTTTCCAGCCTTTCAAACTATTGAACCTGAAAGAATTTTAAGCAAAAATTTTAGGGATACCAAAAATTGATCAATTTTGCTGAATTATGTTAAAAGTGACCGTTTGAGCTAGAAGATTTTAGTTCAATTTTACAAGAGAAAACAGTGTTCATAATTTTTTTCAATTCATTAATTATTAAATTAGCAACATCAATAACAAAAAAATATAAAACATTGACATTTCAATAAAAATTACCTCATTTCCTTTTCATAGAATTAAGAAATAGTTAACAATAATTAATTCATAATTTACTATAATATTGGATTTAACACCCTTTCCTTCTCACGTATTCATTACTTATTTGTAAGGAAATATCTTTCTCCATTTTATGGCATCATCTCTTAATGCAATAGTATGAAAACAAAAATGTTTTAAAAAGTTTGCTTAGTTCGTTACCATTTTTAAAAATGGCTGTTTACTTCAAATTTTATTAAAAAATTATGTAAAATTTATATAAACTGAATACAACTTACTGATTTACATTGGTTTTACTTTTTTAGATACATCCTTGGGACAGACCTGGACTCTTTTACAGTTCAGCCGAGGATCTAAGCTCTTCCACAGAATATATCATTTGTGATATTTACTTTTAATATAATTAAGTTACGAATTAAAATCTCGTAGCATAAATTATTTTAAATTGCATTTCGTCCTCAAATATTATGTATTGCAGCAGTTTTTTTTTTTTATTTAGATAAATTTTGCATAATTTTTCGACAGAATTAACCATTAATTAAATTCTTTTTAAGATTATAGAATAATAATTTATCTTTCTTCTTATTGAAATTTTATATCTGTGAATTTTAAATCAATCTTCCTTATCGCAATTTATCATTTTCTGAATAAAGCTTTCTAGCATTGGAAAATTTTGAAATAAAAAAATAGTAGGCAATTTTTGCTAATATGATTGCTTATGCTTCGTCGGTACAATTAACCTAAATTAGTCGTATAAATTTATAGAATCTGTCAGAAACAACTAAAAGTTAAATAAATGCATAATTTCTTAGCTCTCTTATTCTCAAATAGTTTTGTACAAAAAAATTGGAAAACTGATGATGTAACAACTAAACTTCAAAATGAGAATAAATTTAAATTTAATTATAAATTGCCGAAAGATGCCTTCTGTGCAGTATATCTTTCGTAGACAATAAATAAGGAATTATTTTTCAGTACTTTGTTTAGAGTTATTATACGCTAAGGAAAATCAATTTTGTGATCAGGTTTTTTATCAGTCTCGAATTTAGGTTGGAATTTTTTTAGTACTCAAATTGCATTATGTGCGAATTTCTTCTACTCCAGCTTATTTAAATATCTCAGTGATGTGTATTGTATATCACAATTTTGGTCTCATGCATGGGTAGCTACATTATTGGTATGCTTTTTTTAGCTAATAATATAGGAAGGAATTTTTAAAAGATTTTTCACTTCATCGTCAATTATGCAAAATTGAAGACTTAAAACTTGATTTCATGAACTTCAATTATTTGAAAAAATTTCTACCCTTCGAATGATGAACCAAATTGAATCAAAAAATCTTATTAATCTAAATTTAGTACGGAATTCTATTGAATTCAGATATTTAGATTATTGGATTGATGTGTACAACTTTTTAAAAAAGATGCATTTTTTTGGAAACTTTTTTTAGAATGTCTTTTAAATATTTGTCTTTTAAATATTTTCAGTCAAAATGTGAATGAACTTTAAAATGAAAATAATGCAACGCTAAGTATGTGGCGTAATATGACATTTAATACATGTTCATGAAGTTACTGATAGCTATCGTTTTAAAAATATATATTTTCTTTTTAATGATAAAAAATGGACTTTTAAAGCTTAACAAATTAAACATCAAATTTTTAATATTTTCGCGGGAATCATTCATTGTAGGTGTCGGTAAATGCATCGGTGGTGGTTTATATGAGCGGTGTTTTCCATGTGATTGCATTATCGATCATTCGTTTTATCTCGTTGAATCAAATCCATCAAACAAGAATAACTGAACTTTGGTTTAGTTACAGTGTTAGTTCCTCAAAACAATTTTCAGCAATTTTTTTATGGTAAATGATAAAGACTTGTTAGCAGAAATCGGGATCATTTACTGAGAGTTATCAAGATTGAAATTATTGTTTTATTCATAGACGGAAAAAAATCATTTTATTTGAGGAAAATCTTTTAAAAACTAAAATTACAGAAATGTTTGCGTACCATAATATTAATCAACATCGGTGCCGTCTTGCTATGCATACCGTTCTTTTTCAACTCCGAAGTGCGCAAAGTACCATCACATCGGGAATGTTCGGCACGATATCCGTCTAGAAGCAATCTTCCGACGCATGAACTTAGTTTCACCATTCTTGCTAGCAGTACTGCTCTTGGACAAGTAAACTTTTGGCTTCTAGGCATTATGTGCAAATTGATCCCATGCGCTATCATGATTGTAATGACTGTGTTGCTAATCCAGAAGTTACGTCAGATTCAGCTATTATCAATCAGGTTTACGTCACCGACACGCGAAAAAAGATGTAGACGTATAACATACATCACTATGGTATGCGAAAATTTTCACTTTCTGTTCCATTATTGTGTGCATTACGTGCAAAACATAGAAAATTACGTTTTGCCTTCGAGAAGTTTTTTATTTCATTTCTTGCTTATTTGAAAATTATAAAATTTAAATGGTGAAAATATTTTGTAATCCGAAATTTATCAAAATTCTTGAAAAATTTTTTTAATACTTAATATTTATAAGTGCAGACAGCTTAAAACATTTCTAAAAATATGTTCGCATCCTAAATCAATCGTTTGGATTCACAAAAAATTTTTACATATATGAAATTTTTCGCTCTAAATGAAATCTTTTATTTATAAGCAAGTAGAACGAGCATTTTTTTTTGATAATTTATACAATCGATCATTTGAATTGAACGTAGCAAATAATAAGAAAATCGAAAAATGGGAAAAAGAATATAAAAATGATGAATTGATTAGTGCACTCTAAACAATCCCACAAACGAAGTTGTCTGAAAGTCTAATTTGAGTCGGATTCAATGAAGTATTTTAGTTTTTTTTACAACTTTTTCTTTACAACTACCTCTGGAGATGATGGTAAGAGGTAAAATGAAGAATGAAAGATATGAATACTGAAGAACTTGATGAAAACTACAAAGAGCTAGAAAATTGGATGAATTATCGCTAGGTTAGTTAAGAATCAGCAGATGAAGAATTGATTTTTTTTAAGGTAATTATGATAAATTTTATGGTCGTGGAGTTACCACAAGGTGTTTTTTCGGTTTTGTCATCGGTGAAGGGAACAAGTTTTACGAGATCTGAATTATTGGGAGATTTATTTGACATCTTTTCATTGCTCAATTCCTGCATTACATTTGCTCTTTTTTGTTCGATGAGTAGTCGTGTCCGAAATGCATTTGCTCAAGGATTATTTCCATTTAACTACAAATATTTGCAACAAATTATTGATAGGTTTGTTTATTTTCTTTCTATTTTAGCTATTACATTTACGAAAAATCTTCTCTTAAAAGAATCAAATTTTTTTTAACAAAAATTTCTTGATAATTTTGATGGAAATTGTATCATAAATGAATGATTTATTATTACTAAAATTGTAACAGATATCATCAAATTATACTTCAAAACAACAATCAATCATCCCCGTTCTATTGGGGTTTTGTAAACGGCAACTACCAGAAATTATTCTTTTTTATCATTTATTTTATCCCTACTATTGCATATTTTAATCTTGAGGAGCTTTGTTCACTTTCTGCATCCGAATTCATTCCAAAAGTTACACCACAATGCATTGAGTAATTGAACTATATTTGATTTCAAAAAAGATTTTTCCATTACAATGACAAACCTTTACAAATGAATCAGAAAATTTTTATTTTTTAGAATATTTTTATAAAAATATAGTGTGCATTTTGAATCTGCAATTATTATAAATTTGCAGGTTGAGGCAAATTCCAGTAGTAATTGAAAGCAGCAATTCGAATGATGCATGGACTACAGCTGAGAATAATGTTAGATGAAATATCTCCCAAGATGCTAATTTATAATTACAATTGTATTTCTATTGCATTCTGAAGAAATTGACTTACTGTATTTGGTATTATAATGAGATGACTGAATTTAATTCATTGGTATGCATTATTTTCTTAAAGTCAAACGAATAATTTTTTTTTTTTTGAATTGAAGATTTTTTGGATTAGAAAGAAATCTTTTTAATCAATTGACAATGATATATATGATCTCATTAATTAATTTTGCCTTTTCTATGCGGAAAGAAGAAAAATTGTTTGATTATGACCATACAACTTGATCAAAGCTAAGTGTTTTGACATTCACAAGTAGAAATGTCGTTTTTCTACTCAGATTCACTACAGTTAGAGAAATGTGTCAGAGATATCCCGAGTTCTCGAGATGCACTGTTCTCTGTTTACTCTATTGTTTTCTTGACAGTGTTTATTTTATGAACAATTTGATATGCATAATTATAATTTAAGTATAATTATGCCTCACTTGACTTATTTGGAACATTATAGCATTGAGAAGTCGTCTCATGGATATTTCTGGTTAGTGTCGGTTCATTACAGCATCACTTTTAAGATCTATTATTGAGCTTGAGTAAATCATTGAGAATTGTTATCGCTATTTATAGAAGAATCTCTGCAATTTTTTGTGACACTTTGTCGTAGAGTCGAGAACTGTTCTGTCACTCGTTGTCCTTTTCTTCCGGTTCAAGGAAGAGACAAAGAAACATACAATAAGTGATAATTGAAATATTGCAACAGTTGATCTCAATAATGTTATCATACGCTCGCTACAGTAATGCCGAAAAGCTCTGTGTCAGATGGTGATGACGAGTTATCATTGTCATCTCGATCCAGTTGCGCATTCCCACGCTAAATTTCTCGAATAAAGCTCATAATATGAGACTTCATAGATTACATGTCTTATTTAAAGCGATTACCATTGATCTGCTATTAATTTAAAGCACTTTAAAACGTCCCATTGCGCTTCAATCTTATTTAGCCATTGAAGTAAACCATTTTAAGATTCCATTGAAATTTTTGATTGGAAGATGTCTTTTAATCTGACTTTTCTAATATGCAAAAAGTGAGCGATATTTTATATTGATAGAAAAAATGTACAATTTCCAATAGATTTCAATAAATCAATAACTACTGTAACCGTTTTGCTGTTGCTGTTGCTGTGGTGGAGAAATGGTACGATGAAAGCTTTCGGTTGTTGTAGTAACCTCATAGGTACGATCTTGACTTCGACGATGACGTGCTGCGGTAGATGTTGGAGCTATCGGTTGTGGAATGTCTTCCTCGTAGACCCTATCATTGGAAGGCATCAAAAATTAAAATATCCTTGCGTCATTTTTTTCCATTATTAAAAGTAATTGCATCATAAAAATCAATAATGTGCTAATTATTTGATTCGTAAAATATAATTTTAGAGCTGTTTTTTGAAATGAATAAATACACTATAAGAAGCTATCTCAAACTTACGTGTATTCTTCTTTCAAAGAAGGCGCTTGTATACGTGGTAATCTAAACCACTGAAAGAATGGACTTACGCGCTCCTCCAATGTTATCGGTTTTTTTGCTGAATAATAATAGTGCTCTTGGAAACACTGGACAGAATGACACTAAAAATAATACAAAAAATACATTGCTGATTAATTTAATTTTAATTCTTTTTTATTTAAAGGAAAATTTAAGAATATATAAGAAGGAATATGAAACTCACAGTATGGATTATAAAATTATATTTTACTATTGAAATTTTGCCAAAAAAATGGATACTTTATGGATAAAAATAGTTTCAAATTTGTTTAAAAAGAGTCAATATAATAATTACCAGGAAAAGCGCGATAAAAAAACCGATCAACCATCCAACCCAAATGTCTCTCCAATGATTCTTGTAACCACTGATTCGAGAAAATGAATCAATTAATGTAAGACCCATGAAACCAAATATGAGAAATGGTCGCAGCAAAGGCGCACTACGTAGACTGATCATGTAATAAATGTAGCACTATAAAGTTATCACTCAGAATGATAAGTTAGTTCAATTCGTTATTTTAGAGCTTTAATATTAAATGAGAAATTTATGAAATTCTTTGTTTTCAATAGTATTTATTCTTTAACAGAAATAACTGAGAGAAAATAGCAAAATTTAACTTCCACTTTCATGTTGTTTACTGAAATTCGATAGGATCATGAAGGGCAAATATCATAACTTAATAAGATTAAGAAAATTACCGTACTACAGTGTAAAATCAAAATAGAGAGACTGATATAGATCAGTATCAGAGTTAATGTTTTTAAAAACTTTGCTTTTTTGTTTGTTTGTTTTTGCACTGAAACAAATTAGTTACCGAAGCAAATGTGCACGAAAATGATGAAAATGCCGCATGGAGTGATGGAAATGAAAGTGAAGCGTAGCGCAAATCGTTTGGATTCCGATTTAAACAGGCCAAGAAGGGAGATGGTGATGGCGATTGCTCGAGCGGTCCTGTACATGCACTGTAATTTCATCTATGGCTTTTGTATTGGAGAAAAACGTCAAAGCAAAAATTACTCTACTAGAAAGTCTGGTAAAGACTTATAAATTAAAAAAAGCATTTAATTAAAACATTTAAAATATGTATTTGTTGGCTGAATCATTCTACAAATTGAAGAGTCCAACATTTTGCTATTTTTTTGATTTCAGCTCTCTAAATTTTTGGATTTTGAAGCGCAAATATTTGAAGACTGACGCAAATATTTGAGGACTGATAAGAAATCCAATTTTTCCTCTTTTTTAAAAGATTTTTGATATTAGTTTTCTTTTCGCTTTTCCGATATTTAGAAGTATATTTTAAGGATTGCTTGAGAATCAAAGATGATAATTTTAATATTACGGGAGATGACTTGATTAGAACCTCAGGATTTAGACAATTTTCCTTATTGTATAATATTCTTTCAAGGAAAAGATTAAGTGGAAGGTTTGAGCTATGAGACTTTTTTCTATCATAAATTTAAAAAATAATTTCTGCAAACTGTCAACAAAGTTGAAATTCAAATAGGTTTAATTCTTTTTTGTTGAAAAGCCAATTCATTTGTTTCTTTTGATGAAATTTTTTAGCTCAAATTCATTCAAATTTAAGAAGGTTTTTTTAAAAAAATTTTAAAAAACATTGTAACAGTACACTGTAATAAAATTAATTACTTATAGATCATATTATCGAAATGTTTCTTCGTTAAACAATGAAATATATACATTGACTTAAAGACAAACTTTTACAAAAGTAAACAGAAGCATTGGAGTAAGAAGAAAAGCGATAATTGAGAGAACCTTATGTTTGGTCTGCAAAGGGACAAAAAATATGGCCGATGATAACCAGTCATAAATTTGATCGCATAAACAAATATTTGTGTTATAAGTGCACCAAACATGAATACACCTGCAATTCAAGGTCATCGCATATTAATCCTTCTTTTTCATAAGTAAAATAAAACTATTTCAAGATAAAACTAATTTTTCAAATATCTATAAATTAAAAATTTTTAGCGACCAATTGGTGATTTGAGAAGCAAAATTTTGATTTTTCAATATATTTAGTATTTAAAAGAACATTTTTAAAATCATGAAATGAATGCACAATTCTAGGTTCTGCTGTTTTTTTAAATCAAATAATTTATGAGTGGTTTAAAAAAAATGTAATTCTCACATCGTAATTCACCGTGACTTAGTACTCCATTGTTTTCGTTCAGTAAAAATTAGAGTGATGAAATTTTGTTGGAAGAATTTTTTTAACTTTATTCAGTTTAAAAATAAGTTTGGCTAAAAAAGCTGATAAAAAATGAGTGATTGTTGCTGTGTTGGATGACTGACCGATAAATCGCATAAGTCGTCGAGTTAATAAATGAATTTTACATTCGCCACAACCAGCATAAACTGCCTTCCTCGGTTTTGTGGAGAATAGCCAAAACATTATTTCACCGATAAACATCTATAAATAAAATAAGAACTTGTAAGAAAAAAACAGGAGCCAAAGATGAGTCAGAAAATCTGTAAATGGATGATTTTTTATTCATCAAAAATAATAGCCATTTTAAGAGAAATAAAACAATCAACTGTAATTAAAAATTGGTCAAAATTTTTGGTTTCAAAATTTCACAAAAATTTTACAACCTGAACGAGTTTATCTAGAATTTTGACTAATGAACTGATTAAAATAATTTGATTAAAGCTATGACATACAACAAATGGCGGTAATGTGAAACCAAGCGCATAAAGGAGAGCATAGGATACATAGACATTGAAATCCTCTGACTGAAAATTGGGCCTATAGAAGAGAACGTCACGACATTGAAATACTCGATGATGATAGGGGAATACGGTCGTGAAACTGAAAAATTCTCGCAGAAATGAAATTAACTGATACTAAATCTTTTCATGTAAAAATATGTTTTCTTTTGGCTTTAATAAACCTTTATCATTTAGATTTAAAAATAAAAAATATCAATGCAATATGTCATGAAAATACATATGATTATAAAAGCAACAAAAACTGGAAATCTACCTCATATAGTACCATAATGTCCATAAGCATGCTAAGCCAACAACTGATAAGATGAAAGTTGGAATGATGAAATAATTAAGTTGCATACGTGATCGTTTAATGATTGGTCCATCATATTGGGATGCTGAGAAGACTTCCGATTGCGCTCGTGAATGTGGGAAAGACATTTTTTGAAATACTTTTAATGGCACAATATTTTTGGTATGCAAACAAGAGCTGGTTATTTAAAGCCAAAAGATACTGTCTCAATAGAAACGAATTTAAGAAATTTATTGCAATCTTGGCAATGACACATAAAAAGAGTTTCAGAAATAGGCGCAATTTACGAAAGAGAGAGAGAGAGAACGAGAAAGGGAGAAGTTAATTCAACGGAATATAGCAATAGCGGTGGTGGTGGTAGAAAGTGGAGAATAAATCGAGTTTCAGAGCTATATTATAACTGGAAGGTAGAAATCTACCTTATAACTCAAGTATGTTGATAGAGCAGTAAATCGATCATCCGACAAGATCCGATCGAGAAGTCCCCACCTCTTTCCCCTTCTTTTTTATCAATTCAATTTTTCTTTTCTTTATTGAATCAATGAAGAATGAATGAGTGATCTGATTGATTGATTGATTATAATATTTGACTTTCCTCCATTATTACTATGATAACTATACCACATTTATGTTAAATTGAACAAATAGACGTGCATTTTAGGAGATGATAGATTGATCGATGAATAAACAGAATGACCAAAAGCAAAAATGAGCGTATTTGTAAATCATACAGCTGCTCAAAGCTTATTTCATTTAGTTAGAACTGCTTGGAAGTTATGCAGTAGTTGTACAGCTCAGCATCATACAATTTTAATATAATTTAAATTTGTCCAGTTTAATCTGAACAAAGTTAACTTGTAAAAAAAATTCACACAGCTCTGTAAATAATTTGTGACAGTACTTGTCAACTTCCTGGTTATTTTCAGAAAAATTTATGAAACGACACATTATTTTGCATTGTTTTATGAATATTATTATGGTAAATGTAAGTTATTGACTTGTGCAAAAAAAAGAAATTCAATTAGATAGAAGAAAATACATTATTAAATTGATTTAACAAATACATGCAAAATGAACAATGAGACAATCTATGTGATTGAAATGATTTCTGATTTTTTGAAATATCACTGATTTCAGAAATTTCATCGCTATTTCAAATTAAAAAAACCTAACAAAAAGGCTTCAGAGAAGGAGCAGTTTTCAATTTTCAACACATTTTGGGCAAAGGCCGATTTCTTTAATTGGAGTAGTGTGATAGAGCATCATAATTGTAAGCTGTCTAGCGAATCAATTAATTGTTCCCATAGGACATTCATTTCATTCAGAAATTTGGAATTGAATAATTGAATTTGCTTACAGTAACAAATAACTTGCAGTGACTGACCCTCCTCTTAACAGTATGTAATTCACAAGCAATCAAAAAAAGAAAGATTAAAATATCAAAGGAAAAAGTTTTGTTTTCTAATTCACTACTTCAAAACTTCTCGGATCTAATATTTTACAAATTAATAGTGCATGCACATTATAATAACTTCCATTGATCCATTTACTTTCATTATTTTATTCTTGGCTGAAGTTAGCCATTTTGAAGTACTATTCTTTAGCTGGAGAAAAATTTATGACTGCTTATCACAGCTTCCAACTTTCATAAATACTGGTCAGAGAAAATCTTTTACTGTATTAATTGCTGTGTAGTTCGCTCCATATTTCACTGCCCTGGAAAGTTTAAATCGATTTAATTAATTAGTTCTATCATTGTGCAGCAAGATGAAGTGAATTTGATAATATTTCAGTTTTGTTTTTTTAGTTATTTGAAACCACACTAAGTTACGAAGTTCATAGCCTTTGCAGGTTATAAATTCGATTAGACCGAAACTGAAATTTCCCCTGAAAATCCCACATTAAACATACGAATCCCTCTCGACACAAACCTAAATATATATTATCCTACCATATTTTATTTTGAAGTAGTGCACAACAATAAATTCGGAAGGCAAAATATACCTGCAACTTTGCCATATTTGAAATCGCTGTATTATAAACTAGAAATACATAACATTTTATTATTTTCACATATTTTCAAGTGAATTATATTTATGTTTCTGTGGAGAAGGAAGGATTCATATGTTAATATGCGAATAGTAATACATTTATGAATTCTAATTTTATATTATTCATAAAGAATTCTTGAAGAATAATGAGAGGATTTTTTATATTATCAGTTATTTCACTTGGAATTGGGTTCATAGGTTGAAAATAAGTAAAAAATAAGCAAGGCATATTCCGAATGAAATCTAAATCAGAAATTTTCATTACTATTAGAAAGAAAAAAGAGGAAATCAATATTTGGTAAAGATTTTAAACGTTCCGCTCTTTATATCTTCCGGTTAAGTTAATTTTCTTTTTCCAATGATAAATTTTTTCACTTTTGAAAAGTTTTTTTTTCAGCTAATCAGAAAGCCGTATTTTTTCTCTCTGTAAACAAACTTTACAGCTAGTTTAGGAAGTCTGCTACAGTCTAAAAGAAAAATTGGGGTTTTGTTTTTCTGTGCTCTAAGGTATTGCATATTTAACAGTACAGATAATAAAAAAGTTTGTAAGTTTCAAAAATCAATGATTTGATTTGATTTTCGTTAATTTTTCAATTGAAAAGCTGGTAAGATTGTTGAAAATTGGATATAATTTAATTAGAAAAACAATTTCGATGTCCACAAACACCTAAAATCACACGAGAACAACACGTCTACTCTAATGGGAAGAAAATGATGCTGGCAAATGTTTCGTTCATTTTGCGATAAACAAATGCGCCTACGGGTAATTATCGCCTTCAGAATGTGACATTAAAGATATGCCTGCGACGTTATTTCTTATTTCTCAGCTTGGTGATGATCTCAAAGAAAGTGTTAAATTACATATCAGATGCGAATTTGATACCAAAGGTTTTATCAATAAGCAGAATCATAAGTTCCAGGCTTGATAATCTGAAATGGCAAGAGAGAAAATGTTATTCAGGATTTCTCCATTTTATACTTAATAAAAATTTATAATTCCACGTTGTTATTCGGAACTTTCAATATTTGATGACTTAATATTATATTTTCAAACGAAAGCACTTGTTTTGTCTAACTAATTTAGGAAAATCACTACAACGGGACTATTGACGGCTTTCAATAAAGATTAATTCTCAATAATACTGGTTCATTAATCATTTCTGTCCATAAGGTTTTGACAAATTAATTTTAGCTAGCAGTTAAAATAGGATAATGATTAGCCAAGGAATGATAAATACATTTATTCAGATGGGATACTTTCGTTGCCCGACTCAGCCTAACGATTTCAAAACTATGGTAAACGCAATATGTGTGGTATTCACCACAAAGGCTTGGTATGCTTAATAAAGAAATTCGCAAAAACAACTTAAGTTCTTCCTTACTGTCTGAATTTAGTCTTTATTTGGAAAGCAAATAGTCAGAAATAAAATTGAATGCATTCAGTAATAATTCCTCAACATCTGAAGATGAATTTGCTGGCAATCTAATGATCTAAAAAAAATTTATAAAGCTCGAATAGAGGCTGCACAATAAAAAAAAATATTGTTACATGAAATATGAACTAGCAAGTTTCAATTTCTGCTTTAATTCACATCTTTATTTCTTTATTGACGCAAACGGTGCGTGAATTTAATGAACAAAAATAGGAAAAAATTATGGTCCAATACCTGATGAAACAATGAAATTTTCAAACTTGTTCTAGTGATTGTTATCCATTCGATAACCTCTTCCATGTTTCATGAGCAATCAAATCACTATTAGTGAATTCGATATGGATCCCAATCAGAATAAAATTTACCCTTAGTGTCCACAATATTGTTATGATTTCCCTATTTTTTCTCTATTTTAATCAGCTATAAACAATAAAAAATATGAGCATAAATTTGTGAATAGATAAATGAGTTTAATCTTATGATGAATCATTTTTGCGATAACGAATGAAAAGAAATACAATGATAAAAGAAGCTAATGAAAAAAAATGGAAAGCATCTAACGACATGCAAAAATCATGAAAGGTCAATTTCTTCGATATCAAATTGGTTTTCTTGATCATTTGCCGGAGATTTCCTGTTTAGCCTACCTTTTGTAAAAGATTGACTTTTAACAAGATTGGTACATAATGCAGAATTCATTGACACAAGAACTTGGTATTGATAATTATCCAGCGTTGATGGCTTTATAAATCTGATTAATGGAAGTGTCCTGCAATTACAGCAATAACTGCAGCTTTCTCTTTTCATCGAGGACTCAAAATTTATCCTCTACTAGATTAATGTTGGAAATTATCATTCTGAAGACAAAATATTTGAAATCATTGAAATGGTTGTTCAAATTATTATTAACTAAATCTCTATATAGAGTAGTGCAAGACGAAAATTTATCAAAAGTTATTTCTCATAAAGTTGAAATATCTGAAATTATGTAAATTCTTATGCAGAACTCGAATAACATCTGCTTTTCAAGAATACGAAAGAGATTTCTTACAGAGTAAAAATTTCTCCGTAAATATGTGAAGGAAAGGCAGCATGAATTTCTTTTTCTCTGTTAAATACTTGAAAATCTTCTGCAGAACAACGGGGTTTATGAAAGTAATACATTCCTCTGCCTGTAACAAAATATTAAAAAAAGAATCAGAAATTTAGTTTCTCGAATATTTGGAAACTCAAAACTGATCGTTCAAAACCTAAGTAGTAGAATAGTAGAAGTTTGCACTTCTATCGGTTTTGAACAAACTTGTAAATGGGACACTATTAATTAACACTAATTTGCAAATTAATTTGGAACTCATCTTGTTTGCTTTTGCATCCGAAATTATAAAAAATGATAGATCGCGCTGCCACCTGAAATAAAAGCAATCAATTTGTAAGCAGTGGAATTCGTATCTTTTTTGATTATTTCCTTGTTATCATATTCTTGGTTCATCAATAAAATTCCAGACAGTATATTAGCAATTGACAGCTTAGAGTTAGCCACGAATTTAGAACTTTCTTTCCAATAGAAAAAGAGACTACCTGTTTTACTGTATCTCCGCAAACTCTTTCTGAATTCAAAAATAGACTGTTCTACAATTTGGATTCAAAACTAAACTTTAAATTTTATTTACGAATAGAAATCTTAAAAACTAAAGGTTAATAAACGAATTACACCCACTTCACTCATATATGAGTTGAAATTAGAATCCATTCGAACTTCCCAACGGCCAGACGCTGAATCGAAAAGGCTTATATTATTGAGAATACCAAGATAAGATGTCAACGATGGAGCAAAATTCAGCTCATGTTCATGCAAGAACATCACCAGCTAAAAAATATTTAAAAATTAAAATATATCAAAATTGACCGCTTGCTTCCTCAAAATGCGATGCTCATGCAGTATGCCAGAAAATTAAAATAGAATACATATCAATACAATTCCACAAATGAAACCTGATAAATTAGTAACCTTGTCAGCGTTCATACCACTTTTAGCAAGCACCTCACTGACATTATCCTTGGGAGGATAATTTCTTGAGTAAACTTTCCTTAATTCAATTTTCAACTTTTCTTCAGCTTTCTTCCAGTCGCCGTCAGCTTTGTCGCACCTTCATGTATTAAACTTGAACGATGTTTTAAAACAATCAGCTAGAGGATAGATAAAAGTACAAAAACAGTCATCTTAGTTTGGTCGCAAAATTATATCCTTTAATGAAATGAAATCTTATATTTTTTGCAAGACCTCTTGATCCTTGTAGCTATCATATTTTTTAAAAAACTGCAATAATTCAAATATTATGCGGAGGAGAATTTTATACATATACCTTTTCGCATAAAGAAGCTTTCCCAAACTATGATATGGATTAACTAATGTTGAGGAATGAAGACAACAAACTTCATCAAATTCTCTGTTGCCATCAAAACACAGTTGCAAATTGTGAATTGCTGTTCTTATGTCACCTGCAATAAAATAGAGAGATGTAAAGCGTTTATCTGCAACCATTGTTATTAGAGATGAGAGAGTAAAAAAATCTGGAAATGATAAGTGAGATAAAAAATTTCCACGATTTGAAAATAAAATATCAAAATATGAAATGCTTCATATCTCAAAATATAAATATTTGTGATTATAAACGAATATAATGCAAAAAAAATGAAACGAAAAAATTCTTGCAAAAAAAAACAATATAACCAAGCTTTAAATCTTGTAGTACTGTAATCGCATTTCAAATTTGGATCCAATTAAATCAACTGGTAATTGTTATTAATCAAGATAATTGTAGTACCAACCATTGGAATTCTCGGCAATTCTTTTAATTTGTAACGGTGATACGTCAATCTTCAGCAGCAAAGTAATTCGTCGTAGTGCTTTCGATAAGAAAATGATTGCAGAAGCATTGAAAGCTAATTCCTCAAAGCCTAACTGATAGCGAATATTTGTAGGCAAAATACGTTTTGGACTTAAATACCAGCAGGAATCAACATCACTCATGATAAATATGTACATACAAACCGTGTTCTTAATGGTGTTCCTTAATGTTGCATGTAGTATCGACGGATCTCTGCAATTTTAAGTAAAAAAAAAACATTAAATACATTTGCCTACACTATCACAATTAATAATGATAAATCATATACCATCAACCCTCTTGAAAAGAAAAATAGACTTGTATTTAAAGTCATATTTCTTTTTACTTTGACATTGAATTAAATTAAATTTTAGTATTTAGAAAAAGCACTACAACAACTTCGGTCAAATGTGAATAAGTGAAAAACGTAACATTTTGTTACAAACAAGACTTTGTTCCACAGTTCAGCAAATGCTTTAAAAAAGTATTATTTATAAAAAAAAATACTGATAAAAAACATTCGGAAGTTGCTCGACAAGTATAACTTTTTGTAAAATTGATTTTTCAAGACATCCACGATCCGATGACTTCAAAAATTTGGCAAATTTCCGGACCTGAAGAAAATGAAGTACCGTGATAATGCACACAAAATTTGGAGATAGCTAAGTAACTAAGCAATGATTTTTAAAAAAATAAGATTTTTAAAAAAATAAGAAAATTCCTACTTCGAATTTTTACTTTCCATAAACTATTAGTATTTTGGAACAATTAAGATAGGAGAGAATTCTAGTTTTGTTTCAAACTCGTCAAATAACATATTTTAAGCAACTGGGTCATAGTTTAAAACGGTAACAAACAAAATCTTAATTACAGTGCATTATGATATGAGTAGGACATTTTATATGTTGCAGATTAATGTATTAATGTTTCGCCATTTCCCACACATGCATTACGAATATTTTTCACACAAGAAACTTGAAAACTTATCAGCAGAAAGTTTTGCATCTTAAAAATATGACTTGCTTGATTTTCCTCATAAATAACTTCCTCTCCCTCCGGATCATAAAATACATCGTAGGATTCGGAACAGTTCCATTCGATTAATTCAAATTTTAGTTCGCGACACAACATTTTCACAGCTGTTGATTTGCCACTGCCGGTAGGTCCTGTGAGCAGAAGTAACTTGCATTCTCGACATCGTCCTTCCTTCTTTTGCATCCATCGTCTTAGCTGAAAAGAAACCAACAAACAGATATAATGATTGGTAATGAGAATATTTTGAACTTACAAAAATTGTAACATAATTGTGTGCGTTTTATCACCACTGCTTATCTGATCAAAATTTCATTATCTTCTCCATCAATTAGTAAAAGTGAAATAAGTCGATCGTAAATATCCTCTTATCTAACATCTAAAGCAATACCTCATTAATTTTTTTTGGATTTACAGCTAATTGTTCCACATTCTGGACGGGAAATCGATCGATTAGGGAATGGGAATGCGTAGATTCCTCCTCTTCATGCGAACTACAAAATGCTACTTTGGCAGGTGTCTCGATTTTTTCATAATCTATGGTTATCATATTAGCAATAGCACGTGATGCATACGTCTTTTTCCGAAACTGAAATAAAACATGCTTCGAATGCTATACATATGAACATAACCTTATTGTAGCATCTCTAGCAGATATATTCTATGCTGAGCAATCATGATAATTCATGCGTTTGTTAAGCCGTAATGTTTGATTACCCTATAGTCCGTTGTTGTTTGGTCTGAATTACTCGACGATTCAAACGATGAACAAAACCACGTAACTGATGTCATTTGCCTCTTACCAAAAATCTGCAACATGCATTTTCCCCACTCAAAAATCTGAGTAAAGTAACCGAACTGAGATATCGAAACCCTTTTTCTTCCTCTCCAAATTTTCATTCCACAACAAAATCACAAATTACAGTTAAATTAAACACTTACAATTCTAGTTTTTCACTATTAAACTGTTCGCAAATCGCAGCATATATATGAATTCGTCACGACAGAGAAGAAAAAGAACCCTTCTCAATTTCTACAACATCACTAGACAAGAGTGTCACTAAACAGTAATGATAGATCATAACAACTACGCCGGTTGTGCTTACAATGCTTAAAACATTTTAAATCGTTTTACAACCACACTGTCCTGAGTTGTTACCAGGCAATACATTTTAAAATAGTGCAACAAGAAACAATGGATTTCACGTTTTTACTGACCTCTATCGATTCCGTTTGTTCAAAGTTGAATAAACAAAAAAGAATATAAGAGGTAAAAATTTTAGACTAGAATTTGCAGCAACCTTCCAAAGAGATTTGTTGTTATGCAATTTCAAGCTACCATTTGCAAAATAATAGATCGAATAAAGTACAGCAATTAACTATGCCAGAATCTGAATATATTACTTACAACTTATAGTTAAAGATGGAACTTAAACGTGCTCAAATTTATATTTGATAGCTTTAAACCTGATAAAATTTCGGAATGATGTATGCCTACCGCAGTACATGGAGTGACAAAACAATAAATACAAGCTCCTGCCAATATAACAAAAATATAAATAACATAGAAAATAAAACCATAGAAACGAATGTGAAAATGCAGTAATTATCGGAGCTAAATATTCTGGAATATGCGTGCCCATAGATTCTTTAAAACCATTTTCAGCATTAGTACTGGAGTATTTGCATGAGGAAAAAGATTATGAAAAGATCAATACAGAAATGAATCACAGAATGAATGTAGTAAATTCCTGGATTCTATGATACCTGATTCCTTTTTATTGCTATTGCCATCCTTAGTCCCGACAATACTAGTTCAGAGTCTCGGCCGTCATTATTAAAAAAGAAGCGCCATTTTAATAAGAAAAGATTAAAAAATATTGCGATAAAATGCCTATGCTAATCTTGTCGCGAATGATTAAAGAAACCCAGGAATTCTAAGACTAATAATCAAAATATCCTAATAAATAATAATTACTATGCTCTAAATATCATTATAATACTATGAGAAGCAATTTAAAAGACTTCACAAAGGAGAAGATGCAAAGCTGAGCATTATCACAGTTTCAGCAACAAAATAGTGGACCGTTTAATGTCCGGTACAATTCAATGCCATAATTAAGATTCTTTCCATAGTTACAATAAAATCGTCAAA